TCAACGAAGCTGAGGTGTCAGCATTGCAGTCGGTTGTTTGCCACCAAGCCAGATCTCTTGGACTATAAGGTAGAAACTTAGCGTGATATGTTAGATATATACAGATAGCAGTGATTTGTCACCTAAAAAGATTTGTATACCCAGCTTTTGCTCATGTATCCAAAAATGTATGCACAACATTTATACACACAATATGGGTAAACAGATTCCAAAATTGAAAACCTCCAAATACAGCTAATTCTGAAATGTTTTGCATTCTGTGAGATTATATTACTGGTTGTCACTTGTACAGATTGTATCTGTGGGGAAATGAGCATCTTACACAGGGAAGAAATCTCATTTTAGTTCACTGTGCCATAAACCAGTAAATAAGTACTCATGTTTGATATTATACAGAGAACAATTTGAGTTTCTTTGTGAAACTAATATGTGCATTTAGTCTGGGCATGTTTGGTTGCCTACATTTGCAGCCAGTTTTTTTACATTCATCATGTAGATTCATATTTGTTATATTGTGAATCTTGTCTTATAATTTGACTGCACCAGTTTCTGCTAATGCATGGCAGGAAGACAAATGTGTACTTTTGCAAAAATGTGAAGTGTGCCCACATTCCTAATAAAAAAAAAAAATGGAAATCCCCTTTGAAATTACATGGTTGTAGTTGATGACGTGTCCAAAGCATGTAGTAGTGCTGGACCTCCTTCACATGGCCGTTTAGCCAAATACACCAAACTTTTGCAGCTAGAATGACAGGTGCTGGCGATTTATCCACAGCTGCTTAACCTGTGCAAGATATCGACAGGCTGACAGGGGCCATTGCTTTTCACATGTGGCCACACACCCAAGTGGTTACCTGTGGTTAGGGACAGATATCTGAACCTGGATGTAGATTACATCTGTCTCTAACCACAGGCAACTGCTTGGTGTGTGAGTACATGCGAACAACGATGGCCTCCGTCAGCATGTCAATACTGTCTACAGGCTTAGCAGCCAGACTCTGAGCAGCTGCCATTTATTTGCATGCACCTGTCATTTTAGCTGCAAGAATCCACTGTTTCTTGATGCTGGAATCCCAGTGTATGCGGCTAAACAGCCATGTGAAAGAGGCCTTGCAGTTGATGGTTCCATGTGAAATCAATAAGTACAAGTTTTTATTTTGTTTTTTAAATGCACTGATTTTGATGTTACTCTTTCACTTTAGGGTAAAATGTATCAGTTTTGCGGTAAAGCCTGCTGTGATGAATACAAAAAAATTAACATGATTACTGCAATGTGTGAATACTGCAAAATAGAGAAGACTATGAAGGAATTGGTGCGCTTCTCAGGAGTTGAAAAAGTTTTCTGCAGTGAAGGTTTGCTATTTTAATTTATTTCTTTCATTAGATGTCTAAATAACTTAATATTCAAAAATGTTTTTCACCACTTCCAGCCCTTAGGCTGTATATATACGATCTTAGGTTGAAGCGGTCATACCACGATCATATCTGCAGCTTGATCTTGGTAGCAACATTTTCAGCCAGAAACCATCTTTCACGGAAAAGTGATAAAAGCGGCTCTACAGTTGCCCAATCCGTTTTACAAAGCGAACATTTAAGTGTTTTTGTTCATAAAAAAATTTGTATTTGATAAACATGCACACAAATATCCTTTGACCTAAAAAAAATTGTAACTACCACCATTGTACTTTCCAGGTCCTCTGCTTTCAGAAAATATATCATGTTTGAGGGTTCTAAGTAATTTTATAGTAAAAACTGCAAATTTTAACATGTATGTGAAAAATGTTAAAATTGGCCTGGGCAGCAAGCAGTTAAATGGTCCCCCCCCCCAAATACTTATTACCTATATCTTTCTAACATTTTAATGAAGTTATGAACTGAAATTCCTATATAAATATATTTAATGCAATAGTGTAGTGTAATGGTATCTTAAAGGAGCAGTATAGTCAAAGCTTTTTTGGCTATACTTCTATGGATCACAAGAGTGCAGTTCTGCACTGTGACCCATTTTGCAGCTAACAGTAGGCTGAAGACACAGAGCTGGTCCAGGCTCTTAAATATCCTGACCATATGATTAGGATCCAACTAGAAGCCTGGACTGGCACCTGGCTCAGCCTCTCGGTGATCCGCTGAGAGCCTGAGCCAGCCCCTCCACAGCCTGGTGCTCCAGTGAGCACTGGGGGGGCAAAGCAGAGACATAGACACTGACAGTCACGGCTGTTTGCTCACAGCAGAGCAGAGGGGAAAACTGAGCAATCACGATATTTGATCGCTGAGTTCTCTGTGCAGAGCCAGTGGGGGACAGATGCAGCATTGGATTGATGCTGCATCCACCTAGGTGAGTGTAATTTTTTTTTTTTTTTTCCAATTCCTAAAACCCATACTTCTCTTTTGTAAATTTACTGTACTAGTGAATTCTGACCATATAATTGGTGTGTTTTTATAGGTTGCAAGCTGCTGTACAAACATGACCTTTCTAAAAAGTGGGGAAGTTACTGTAAGATGTGCAGTTACTGCTGCCAAACCTCTCCAAAGTTGGTGCGGAATCATTTTGGAGGGAAGTTGGAAGAGTTCTGTGGAGAAGAATGCATGTCAAAATTCACAGTGCTATTTTATCAGGTGAGAAGTCATAAATCAATTTAAGATAAATGGGGAAACTGAGGTTGCTTTATTGTCAGCATGGTTTTTAAATCCTTATTTATGATCATACCTGATTTTATCTGGCCATGAGACCAGCATGTACAGAAATCTGGCAATGTAGCAGTCGTGTACAAAAGTCTCATCCACTGTTGAGACACCCAATTTTAAAAAGTAAAAAGGTAAACTGATAGTTTTACATAACGCAGCAGCATCCACACACTTGGGACACCCTACATTAGAGATAATTTATTCTTCCTAAGCAAATACACCTTTGCGCACTGCTATATGACTAGTATTAAAATGTTTCTCTCCCTCACTCAGCCAACTGTTCTTATCAGCTAATGAAGTTATTGGTTGTTAGGACGCTGGTGGCTGGAAGGTTATAATTGTGCACAATGGAAACCTTTGGCTTTGTGTAACTAAAAAGCAGGCTTAATCCACCCCCTGGCTTGTATACAATTTTTGGGTTTATTTTTAGACATTTAGCCAAGGTACCCCTGAATAAACCAACAAAAGATTTTCTAGCACACTTACCAGCCAGCCTACAAAAAACAACCAAATTGACCCTGTCTAACAATTCACATTAAATCCAGGGGGTTTTGTTTTCACACATTTGCAAAAATATGTGCAAAATGAACAAAGATGGGCGCTAGCCTTACAAATATATATACAGGTGAAACGCAAAAAATTAGAATATCATGCAAAAGTTCATTTATTTCAGTAATGCAACTTAAAAGGTGAAACTGATATGAGATAGACTCATTACATGCAAAGCAAGATAGTTCAAGCCGTGATTTGTCATAATTGTGATGATTATGGCTTACAGCTCATGAAAACCCCAAATCCTCAATCTCAGAAAATTAGAATATTACATGCAGTCAATAAAACAAGGATTGTACATAGAACAATATCGGCCTTCTGAAAAGTATAAGCATGCATATGTATACAGTACTTGGTTTGGGCCCCTTTTGCAGCAATTACTGCCTCAATGTGGCGTGGAATGGAAGATAGCCTGTGGCACTGCTGAGGTGTTATGGAATACCAGGATGCTTCAATAGCGGCCTTCAGCTCTTCTGCATTGTTCGGTCTCATGTCTCATCTTTCTCTTGGCAATGCCCCATAGATTCTCTATGGGGTTCAGGTCAGGAGAGTTTGCTGGCCAATCAAGCACAATAATCCCATGGTCATTGAACCAGGTTTTGGTGCTTTTGGCAGTGTGGACAGGTGCCAAGTCCTGCTGGAAAATGAAGTCCGCATCCCCACAAAGCTCGTCTGCGGAAGGAAGCATGAAGTGCTCCAAAATCTCCTGGTAGACTGCTGCGTTGACCCTGGACTTAATGAAGCACAGTGGACCAACACCAGCAGATAACATAGCTCCCCAAATCAACACAGACACTGGAAACTTCACACTGGACTTCAAGCATCTTGCAGTGTGCGCCTCTCCATTCTTCCTCCATACTCTGGGTCCTTGGTTTCCAAATGAGATGTAAAAGTTGCTCTCATCAGAAAAGAGGACTTTGGACCACTGAGCAACAGACCAGGTCTGTTTTTTCTTTAGCCCCGTTTAAGATGCTTCTGACGTTGTTTGTTCAGGAGCGGCTTGACAAGAGGAATGCGACATTTGAAGCCCATGTCCAGGATCCATCTGTGTGTGGTGGCTCTTGATGCACTGACTCCAGCCTCAGTCCACTCCTTGTGAAAGTCCCCAACACTTTTGAATGGCCTTTTCCTGACAATCCTTTCCAGGCTGCGGTCATCCCTGCTGCTTGTGCACCTTTTTTCTTCCACACTTTTCCCTTCCACATAACTTTCTATGTGCTTTGATACACCACTTTGGGAACATCCAACTTCTTTTGCAATTACCTTTTGAGGCTTTCCCTCCTTATGGAGGGTGTCAATGATGGTTTTCTGCACAACTGTCAGGTCAGCAGTCTTTCCCATGATTGTGATTCCTACTGAACCAGACTGAGAGACCATTTAAAGGCTCAGGAACCCTTTGTAGGTGTTATGGCTTAATTAGCTGATTAGAGTGGGACACTTTGAGCCTAGAATATTGCACCTTTTCACAATATTCTAATTTTCTGAGATTGTGGATTTGGGGTTTTCATGAGCTGTAAGCCATAATCATCACAATTATGACAAATCACGGCTTGAACTATCTTGCTTTGCATGTAATGAGTCTATCTCATATATTTCACTATTTTAAGTTGCATTACTATTGCACAATATTTAAATTTTTCGAGTTTCACCTGTAATTGCATGAATGAAAACAAAAATTCAAGCCATTAAATGAATACATTTCCCTATTCAGATTAGGTCCATACATAAAATTTAGCATGTACATCTATAGAAAGTCCAAAATATATGTTTGTCTCTTATCACGGTGTCCATGAAAGTATAACTGGGTAACATTATCTTCTTAAACATAATGTGTTCACACTACATGTAGATAAACTCCTCACTCAGGAGACCTATGCGCCCAACAAAGCAGCCTGCAAGTGCTAGAACTGGAACTAGTCTGCTTGTGGAATCCCCTGTCAATTCTCATTCACCAGGAACAAACCACCAAAACCAGAGAGAGTACTTATAGTGTAGTAAGCTTTTATATAAACACTAAGGTATTAAAAAATATAAAATATGTGCTCAAATAAAATGGTGCCAGAAAAGGCACAAAACAGCTGGCTTGTAAAGGACCTTAGCGCAGCACCGCCACTCATAATCATAAAGCAGGAGTGCATTCCTTGAAACTGGAAGTGATGTTAGGGTAGGCCCAGAAGTGATATCATTGGCTCAGCATCAATGCATTTTGCGCATCACGTGTTTTCAGGGAGTTCAAGTAGGAGCACAAATCGCAGTGGATAGATTAAGGACAGGTGTGCCTTGAGGGAGCCCACCCTTCTTTAAAGGCACAGGGACGCATGTGATGCCCAGCAAAAGCACAATGGCAGCTGAAGGCATCTGGTAAGTCCCCGCATCCAATTCAACCAGCTGTAAATAAAAGGTGGCAACTACCCAAACCTTTAACTCACCTTTTGCAGTAAGGTGTGTATGAAAGGGCAGTGCACATCACAAACAAAAGCTTTCCCAGCACACTTGCCAGCCAGCCTTGCAAATGTGTGCAAACAAATCTCTCTGGATTTAATGTGATTTGTTAGGGTCAATTTGGTTGTTTTGCAGACTGGCTGGTAAGTGTTCTGGGAAATCATTTGTTTGTGATGTGCATTACCCTTCTGTGAGCACCTTACTGCAAAGGCTAGTCATAGGTTGAGGTGGTTGCCACTTTTTTGTACAAAAACCTGAAGGCACCCTGGTTGAAAAAGGCTGGTCTAATCTGAGTTATGTCACACCAAGATTTTCCTGTATGTAGGATCAATGTAACTGCAGAGGGGGGATTTGCAAAGAGGTTTTGCAAAATAGCTAAAAATGAGTATATGAGAAAAAATTAAGTGGGCAACAGTTTTGCAGCACATTTGGATTAAAATGAGGTATGTAAAACATATGGGGATGCCTAATGTGTATCATGTCAAAGCAGTGTGCGGTCATTTGGGGGTTCTAATTTCATGTGTGTGCGATTCTCTGTGCATTGAATTTGGTTTGCTTTTAAAATATTTCACATCTCCTAGAATGGAAAGTTATCCTTAGAATAGTTTTAAGGAAAGGTTGGAACACGAAGCATGTTTGCTGAACTTTTGAGGGCCTGGTCACATCATTTATCCCAATTGTTTTTGCTGAATTTTATCTGTTGCATATTTCTAGAATAAAAAAAAAACTTCCTAAGCAGATATATAGGACAAAAAAAAAAGTTATAAGATGTACCGTGCTTTGAAAAAGTAATCATACCCCTTGAAATTTTCCACATTTTGTCATGTTACAACCCAAAATGTAAATGTATTTTATTGGGATTTTATGTGATAGACCAACACAAAGTGGCACATAATTGTGAAGTGGAAGGAAAATGATAAATGATTTACACATTTTTTTAATAAATATCTGAATAGTGTGGTGTGCGTCTTTATTCTGGACTTTGACTGGGCCATTCTAACACATGAATATGCTTTACTCTAAACCATTCCATTGTAGCTCTGGCTATATTTTTAGTGTCTTTGTCCTGCTGGAAGGTGAACCTCTGCCCCAGTCTCAAGTCTTTTGCAGACTCTAACAGGTTTTCTGCCCTGTATTTGGCTCCATCCATCTTCCCTTCAACTTTGATCTGCTTCTCTGTCCCTGCTGAAGAAAAGCATCCCCACAACATTATGCTGCCACCACCATGTTTCACAGTGGGGATGGTGTGTTCAGGGTGATGTGCAGTGTTAGTTTTCCGCCACACATAGCTTTTTACTTTTAGCCCAAAAAGATCAATTTTGGTCTCATCTGACCAGAGCACCTTTTTCCATATGTTTGCTGTGTCCCCCACTTGGCTTCTCACAAACTGCAAACGGAATTTCTTATGGCTTTCTTTCAACAATGGCTTTCTTCTTACCACTTTTCCATAAAAAGTATGGCTAGATTTGTGGACTGCATGACTAATAGTTGTCCTGTGGACAGATTCTCCCACCTGAGCTGTGGATCTCTGCAGCTCCTCCAGAGTTACCATGGGCCTCCTGGCTGCTTCTCTGATTAATGCTGTCCTTGCCTGGCCTGTCAGTTTAGGTGGACGGCCATGTCTTGGTAGGTTTGCAGTTGTGCCATACTCTTTCCATTTATAGTTGGCTGATTGAACAGTGCTCCATGAGATGTTCAAAGCTTGAGATTTTTTTTTATAACCTAATCTTGCTTTAAACCTCTCCACAACTTTATCCCTGATTTGTCTGGTGTGTTCCTTGGCCTTCATGCTGTTCACTAATGTTCTCTAACAAACCTCTGAGAGCTTCATAGAACGACTGTGTTTATACTGAGATTAAATTACACACAGGAGGACTCTATTTACTAATTAGGTGACTCTGAAGGCAATTGGTTTCACAAGATTTTAGTTTGGGGTATCAGAGTTTAAGGGGCTGAATACAAACACATGCCACACTTTTCAGATATTTATTTGTAAAAAATTTTGAAAACCATTTATCATTTTCCTTCCACTTCACAATTATGTGCCATTTGTGTTGGTCTATCACATAAATTTCCAATAAAATACATTTATATATTTCGTTGTAACATGGCAAAATGTGGAAAATTTCAAGGGGTAGGAATACTTTATCAGGGCACAGTATATATGTTTATAGAATGTGTGTCTTGAATAGATCCTTTGGAGGTCAGGTTACTTCACCATACAGTCACCTTTTAAGTGTGGCTGTCAGCTATACCTGTTGAGACTGCTCCATAAAATGTATACGTGGACCACATACCAACCATGTAAACCCTTATGATTGTGAGTTGTTGAATGATTGCACATTTTGTGCTTGATAAGCTCTTAGAAGTATTATTTTAGTAATATCTAATACTCAATTTTCCTTTTTTTAATTAGATGGGTAAATGTGAAAGTTGCAAGCGGCAAGGCAAGCTAAATGAATCACTAAAATGGAGAGGGGAAATGAAACACTTTTGTAACCTAATGTGTTTAGTGGTGTTCTGCAGTCAGCAGAGCACAGGAGAAGCATCTCCAGTCAACAATACAGGTTTGTTGATGCAGCCTGGGTATACCTATACTCAAAACTGACTTTTTTATTTAACAGTATGCATTCATGATGAAAGGCAAGGAGAGTAACTACACATTGATATTATGTTAAAAAAAAACTGCAAAAGAGTATCCTTAACATAATTTTAAATGTAGCTATTAAATTTACATTTTGCTGTCCCTGTGGTAAATCTTTCACTACCTCGAGTAATGTTTTCATATTTTACAGCACATCTAAGTAGATGCTGCGGAATTTTACATGTGCTGCGTAAGAGACATGAACTCATACAGTCATCTGCTGAAACTGGCATTAAAGTGTCATTAAACCCGAACGGTTTTCTTTAAACATTCATTATATACTTGCGTGCGAAAGTTATCCATGAAACCTTTCCTTGTTAGTCAATACCTGGTTGAGATGCCAATGACGACTCTGTCAGGTTGAGCGAAGGCATCAGAAGATCCTGCCTGTCTGTCTATCCCTGCAGTTGCCACCCCCATGTTGCCTGTCTTGCAGCAGCTACTGTCCGTTTTGCCTGGCCACAGTCAAAGCTTTAGCAGCAATGCCCCTCCTCTCCTATTGGCTGAACAGCAGGGGACAGGGACAGTCCTTAATTATAGGAGTTGCAGGAAGAGAGAGACAGGATGGGCAAGAGCAGCTGGCTGAGGAGGTGCAGATGGCTTAGGAGTGAGTGTCAGGCTACCAACAATACCATCTTATACCTCTAGCCCCTGACTGCAACAAACTTAATTTCCTGTGTGCTCCAACCCCTTATCACATAGTGTGGGGCAGAGCAAGTACACTATATCATGTGACTCTTTATAGTAGCACCACAAAAGGTATTTATATATATTTTCTTGTGAGCTTTAATTACACTTTAAGAAGCCTTTAGGCTAAAATGCCCCCATAGCACATTTTAGAAGATACAATCTGCTTTGTCACTCCTGCCTTGGAATTTTTTATGATCACACCCGTGTTCCACAGCACTTGAAGATTGTGTAGCTAAAACGTTTATTTCATAAAGGGGTAGTTTACCGTTGTAAACAAATAAATGCAGTCACACTATATCATAGCAGCACCCTGTGCTGTTCAGCTCTTACAGCCATTCTTCCTCTGGTAACATACCAGTGGGCCATATTTAAGATAACAGAAGCTTACTGAAAAAAATTGCCACTGTTTTACACTATGGAAGGGTTTTTGTCCTTTTCCAGATGGTTGTGCGGTTCATCCTCTTCCCTCAGTTCAGATAAGCTCAGAGAAGGCGAAAGAGACCACCTTTGATCCTATTGAGTTATTCCTCTGTCTAACCCTACTCACAAAGTTGCCTTTCCTGTCACCATCACGTCTGTGAGGAAAGTTTCTGAGTTGGCGACAATCTGTAGGTTCAAGGTTGTTTTGAGGCTCAGAGCCTCTCTTCTTTCCAGGATGGTTTCTTTCACCTTTACCAGTACTTTGTCCTGTGGTCTCCCAGTCCTACTAAACAAAGCAGTTTACCTTCCTTTGTCGTGATATGGTATGTGCTGCTGTTTTTCTCAGCTACAGCTCCCTTTCTGCATTCCAGCTCTATTTGTCATTCCTGTCATGTCAAAAGGGACAGCCTGCTCTTCGTTCCACTGTCCTTAAGTTAGATTAACCAATGACCATTAAGGTCTATGACTGGAAGGGGGGAGGTTGTACCATACCTGGTCAACACCTAATCCACTAGATCAGTTAAGACATTCCCTGTTCATGGGCAGATAGAATGTGTTTAATGATCGGATCACTTCAGAAAATGTTTTCACTTTTCCAAATATCCTTGCTGAACAGGGAACCCATTCATACTAAACGTAATTCAAATAGACTCAGATTAAATTCTCTAGCAAGCCACGTTTGTGGTCACACCCCTCCCCCTCAACAGGAAGTGGCTCTAACTCTCCATCAATATATGCATGCAGAAGATCTGCCTTCAGAAAGTAATCAGTCTTGCTAGGAGGAAAGAGGGTTCTATTCTCATGTGTTCTTGAGAATAAAGCCCCCTGGAAAAAAACATTCTATATTTCAAACTCTAATACAAAGTGGTGAAGATTCAGAATGGAATCCATTTTTTCCACAACAAGGTTTTCTACCCCCAAAAATGTATTTATGGCCACCTTGTGGATGCTTATTTACAAATTTCCATTCAGGAAACACCAAGGAAGTTTTTAAGGTACAAAGGAAACTATGCATTTTCAATTCTCTGCAATTCTTCCTCTTATCTGCTCTGAGGATCTTTACAAAAGTGTCAGCAGAACTACTAGTACAACGGGGAAGTTGAAATAGTCTCATACCTGGATGAACTATATTTTTTTGGATCAAAGAAGAATCTTGCATGTGGCTATAGATCATCTAAAAAGCCTAAGAGGGCCAACAAATCAAGAGAAATTCTATCTAACCTCATCACATAGTGATTTTTCTAAGACATGCAGTGGACTGCATCAAGACATGAATCTTTCACCCAAAAAAAAACAAAAAAAAACAAATATTGAAACTGAGGCTGTCATCAAGCTCCATCTCACTTTGACAATATCATTAAGGGAAATCATGAGATTCATAGGCCTTATGACAGCAGCCATCCCAGCAGTTTTTTGCTTGGTTACACTTGAGGCCCCTGAAAAAAATATTTCTTCTCTCCACTTGGGATGGAGAACAGAACACACTGCAGGCAACATACCGAGGCTCCCCAGAGTGTGTTGAGTGTGGGGCTTCCAGGCAACCTGATCCACCACCTTTGGTGGTGTCTGAAACCAGAACGATACTGGGATGCAGTAATCCTTAAACTTCATGAAGTATATGGTATTTACATTCATAACCACCCACTTTCTTGTATATTTGGTACCCTCAACCATGATGTTTTCACCACTTTTGTGATGTAAAGGTCATTATTTGCTGCATGTAAAGTTATTATGTTTAGATAGGTCGCTATTGTTGCGTCTAAAAACCAACACTGGATCTCTGAATTGAGTTAATAGCATTTGAAAAAATAACATGATCTAACTTGAAAACGCCGGCTGGCGATGGCCTACCTAGGTTAGTCATCTGTAACCACAAATGCACACACAAAGATGTGTCTGAGCTTTTTTTGGGGCTACATGTGAAAATTATGCTCTTTGGCAGCATCTAATGTTTCACTACCAATGTACATGTTGATTGTGAATACTGTCTACGCCTTCATCCTCCGTTAACAATCTGATATTTTTTAGCACTCTGCTTTCTTGGTTCTGCTGTATTGAAGTTCTTGTATAATTATCCTTACCTGTGTAACTGTAATGTTAGCCTACGTATTACTTTGTCTATGGGCACCTCAAAAGCTGAAAATTTTTTTTTTTCTAAAAACCTGGTGTCTACACCCAGAGAACCTGTCAAGTGGTCACCCTTGGATTCAGCCAAACCCTGCAGAGATCACTGCAGATGCCTGTGCCTGGGGCTGGGGAATTCATATGGAGCAGTAGGTGATACAGGGTGTTTAAAGCACTGTTTGAGACTGAAGCCTATCAAAATTGAAGGAATTGAAAGTGATTACGGAAGCAAAAATGCCACATAGAATCAAAACCATGCCACAAAGGAATCAAAGGACAGCATCTGTGTCTTTTATCAGCACGCAAGGAGGCAAATAATCACAGTATCTCATGACGATGGAGGAGGAGACTTGGCGGTCCGTGTAAAATCTAAGCTAAATTCTCTAGCTGATTTATAGGTCACCTGTTTAGCGTTGCGGAGGAGGTCTAGAATTATTGCTCTCATTCTGGCGTGCGCGGTGATATATGACATGTGTATCGCAATTGACAGTTTCATGCGTAGGCACCCCAGGTGTCCTTTTATTTTTTGTACATGCATATATGTGAGGGTGGGGGCCTCCAATATTTTTTTTTTTTTTTTGGTATATGCTTGGGTGTAACTTTTTCATTTTTTACAATTAAAAAAAAACAAAAAACTTTTTTTTTTTTTTTTTTTTTTCTTTTTCTTTTTTTCATCACATGGGGACAAAGTCCCGTATGTGAGGATTTTTGGTGACAAGTTCTCTTTGAGACATCCAAGGTCTGAAAGACCCTGGATGTCTCCTCTCTGCTCCACTGAAGCACCGCTTTAAATTTTTTTTCTCGGGATTGCATTACAATCTCTCAACGAGAATCCAGAAGTGATATCATAATGTCACTTTCGGGTCAGCACAAGAAGGGGAGGGGAGCGGAGCTCTTCTCACTCCCCTCTAGCCAACAGCGAGCCGGGCCCGCAGATGGACAAGCGAAGAGGCTGGCACTGCGTGGAAGCAATCGGCGCCAGCGCTACTGCCAATTGCTTCCACCTGACAGGTGAGCCCTGCTGCTTGCCCACAGCAGGGCTGAAGGTAAAAAAAAAAAAAAAACTACCTGGCCGGCCCCCAGAACTGCATGTCCCGGGCGTTGGGCGATAGGATTCCAACATCCCTGAACACTGAAGAATAGTTTACACCAGACCATCGTTATTTTATTAGCCCCTTTTTGGCAAAAAAAAGTCTTGGTTTGCAAGCCTACTCCTACCGTCATACCCCCATGGATACTGCTGCCCCAAATTGATCTACAGCAAGACCCAGTGGTGCATCCTCAGCTACAATGTCTGCATCTCACATCATGACTTCAGAAAAGGAGACCTTAAATAATCAACAAAGTTGTGCTTAGGGTTGGCTATCAGAAAATAACCACTGCAGGCATTTATGGGAACATTTGGAAAAACTCTTCCCACTTTCCCTCAAGTGGTAACAAGGATCATCCAGTTATTCCTTTGGTCCAAGGTTTCTTGTAGGAAAGAGCTGACAAAAACTTGTCACGTAGCACAATAACTGTGTCATGCAACTTTTCTGGAAATTATATTGGCAGGAGAACCTCTCATTAAAAGATTTCTTGTGTCTTCCACAAGGTCCTGATGACCTTTCATTAGGAGGTTCACTGCTTGGGACCTCTCAACAATACTTAAGAGGTTTCCTTCAGGTACCTATCAAACCCATTGAAGAATGTTCAGAGCAGATAATCGGTTCTGCTGGTGACTCTAGTATCTGCTAGAAGAGAGCAAAATCCACTCCCTCAATAGCAAAACCCTACTGCCTAATTCTACCATATGAAATCATTCTGAAACCTAATTCAGTATTCTTGCCATAAGTGGCCCCCCGCGCTTTCACTGGACACAAGATATTACAGTTCCATAATTTTTTGCCAATCCATTTAATGCAAAAGAGACCACTTTTTTTCACAACTTCCAAAGATGCCTAATAGCCTACTTTGTGCTTGCATATTCCTGCAGGAAATTCCTCAAACTCTTTGCTCTTCTTAGGTCCTAGAAATGGAGAAGGAGCAACCAAAATTCAGAAACGCCATTGTAGTAACTTACCAGGCTTAATTACTTGACCTACCAGAAAGCACACTCTGAAGACTATGCCCTCATCATTGGTAGAAGGAGTGGGGGCGTCTTCAGACCATCTGTAAGACAGCCAGCTTGACCAGTTTTTCAGATCTTTGTTTAGCTTTATAGAGTTGATCTTCTCTCCAGCCTTGACCAAACCTTCAACAGGAGGGTTCTGCAGACTGCTGTTCCATCATAAGCAGGTATTTCTAACTTGTCCTCTGGTATGCTATCCTGGAAGATGACTGGCGAAAACTGTTACCTGGTAACTCGGTTTCCGAGAATCTTCCAGGACAGCAGGGATTTGCGCCTTTTTAGCCAGTTAGATAACTTTAGTTCTTATTTAGTACTGAGGTCACTAGGTGTCTGTGCTCTTTTTCTATTGATAATTAATGATGTTTTCCTGTTCAGATCGGAAAATCCTCTTTCTCATGTGCTGTTCTGGTAGATTCCTAGAATGTGAGTTACCGAGTAATTGACTCTTTCGTTAATGTTTTAATGTTCCTTAGTTTTTTGCTAAAATAGATATATGACAATTTAAGAAAATAGGTATTGTCATTGTTTATTTTGTGGAATACTTTTGTAAACTTCTGCTTTTATTGCAGCATCCAATGCCCCTATGGTTCAACCAGTCCCAGCTTCCCCAGGCTCTACTGGGACTAAGGATTCCACTCCAGTCATTGCCAATGTGGTGTCACTTGCAAGCACCCCTGCTGCGCAGCCTACTGCAAACTCTACCAATGTCCTACAAGGTAAGGCACAAAAAGTTAAAAACTCCATTCACACTGGCACTGGCAAATCTGTGCTTTATTTGCATTTAGAGGACATCTTTAACTGCATGATTTTTCATTGGTGCCATTCACACTGAGCGCTTTGTTAGGTTTAGAGAAAATAGAATTTTGTGTCCAGTTTCTGATTATAAATTTTAATGGCTGCTAAACCTGCTTAGCGCAGTAACATCTGCATATAGAAAAAGTAAACACAGGCATGTTAGTGAGGCCTAAGTGGTGTATTAGTGTCAAGCCACTGCATTAAAGGATTTGGGGTAGATTCACACTTCTGCATTGCATTTTAAATATGCTACTAAAGCACTGCAGTGCAGTCAAAAATGTCTCACTCTTCTTTATGTTTTGGAGGGGGGGAGCAAGGGGGGATGCACTGCATCTCCTAATCAACTACTTTACAGGTCATTGGGGTGCCATCTACAATAAATAGCATCACAACACACTACTCAAAAAGCTGTGTGTTGATACTTGTCGAAATAAGGTGTGTTTACCACAACGCAAGACTTTGAATAGCCCCTTAACCACTTCTGACATTTCTCACATATATGTAACAATCTACATATTTTTTTTTGGCTACAAAATTAGTTAGAACACCAAACGTTCTATATTTTCTGAAAGCAAAGGCTCTGGAGAATAAAATAGTGGCTGGTGCAATTTTTTCTCACACAATATTTGCAGAGCGGTTTATCACACATTTTCAGGAAAAACACTTAAATAGATCTTAGTGAACAAAAACACAGTGTAAATACCTATTGTTTGATAAAGTATAATAGATGTTATGTTGAGTAAGTGGATACCTAACACGTGACGCTTTAAAATTGCATACACCATAAAACGTTGACTAACTATGGTACATGTAATTGTCCCTAGGCAATGCTTTAAAAGCCTTTACAGGTTACCACTTTAAAGTTAAACAGGAATTCTGGTGCTAGAAATATTGTTCTCCTTCTGACAATTTGGTGTGAGCATGAGGGGACAAGGGCACTTTAAAATTCTTTTTTTGTTATTAATATTATTTAAATTATTTTTATAAAATATTGTATCTTTTAAATTTTTTTTTTTTTAATTAATTTTATTACTAACAGAACATTTCTTGTGATAGCTGCCCAGTGACAGGTACTCTTTACTTAGAGATCTGGAGTCTGTTATACCCTAGATTTCTCCTCTGCCCTCAAAAACATCTGATCAAGCATTGGTTTGAATAGATACTTTAGAAGCCTGTAACGGCTTGTAAACAACATACTGAAACCAGAGGTGTCTAAATGTTCATAGTTTCTGGCTACTCAGCCGGTCCGACAGATCGAGAGCAGCAGTACTGATCTTGATCACTTTTACAGAAAAACCCATTGTCTGCTGCAAGTTTCGATACCAGGATCATGGCTGCAGTTGCTACTATAATCCTGGTATAACCAATATGACCCAAGGACGTATGGGTATATCCTAAGCGTGAAAAGTGGTTGAAGAAAAGCTTCTGCATTTTCAGAGAGTACATAAGAGCTTTTATTGTAATGTGTATCTTTTAAAGGGACTGTGTTTCTAGGCTAGATACTTTTCTGTTGGCTTGTCTTGTAAGCAGCATGCAACTTTTAAGGTGCTGTAGTGGTTGCACAGCATAAATGCAAGTAATGCTGGGCTGCACAAATCCCACTCGCCAGGTCACCATAGCGACTAGAAATTGCATCCTGGCTTTTGGGCTTTTGTCAGCCCATTCACTGTTGGCACCAGGCATGGGCAATTTCTATTGGACAATGCTCCAGACATATAGTTCTGGGTGCCAGGCAGCTGATTTAGTTTTACAATCTTAAAACAAAAAAAACACTTTAGTTCTGCTTATGTGCAGCAGAGCTAAAGTATTTTTTTACATTTTTTTTTAAGTTTTCTTCTTTACATACCGGCACTCCGGCTTCTTTGTGCGTGGTGTCAGCGCTCTCTGGGAATGCATGGCTCCTAGCTGCCGCCTCTCCGTCAGTTGGTCTCTGAGCACCGCTTCGAGGGGCTGACAGAGATGTAGAGATGTAACCGGCATTGGACACGGGACGAAAGGATGAGCCTGACTGCTGGCTCCCAACTCCGCCAGAGCCTCTCTGGGACGATGAGAGAAGAGTGTTGGCTCTGACCTCCCTCCATTCTCCTCAGTGGCTGTGCCCGGCTCCAGTTCCGTTCCTGTTGTCACCCATCGTGGATTGGATCTGGGTCAGCAGTCGGGTGTGTGTGTGAAGTTGGCCACACAGCCAGCTGATTACCATGCCCTAGGAGGAGAGGTGAGTGAGTCATGGATACAGAGTAAAGTCCATAGTGAGGTTATAATATGTGAAGGGGGGGATTTATAAAAAATTGGTGGGAGGGCAATCTGCATAATAAGGAGTTTCCCCCCTATAACAGGTTTTTGTTGTCATTCTTTGCAGCCAGCCTAAAACCCTGCTGGCATTGCATTATGGTTATTGGCTGGTGGCTCTGCTGTAAGTAATTTAGGGTTAGGGGACGCAAGCTACTTGCCTTGCCCCGGGCGCTGACAACCCATCCTATGCTGAAAAAATGGCTCCTAATTTTAGCTGGCTCTTAGATTCAAAGCAAATTTGTCAATCCCTGAAGTAATGGAATTAAAAAATGTATATTTTCAGATTAAATATTCATATTTACATTTCCAATCAGCTGACGGAGCTTGGAGCTTCCTTTCACCTTTCTATACTTTGCTGCTTTGATGAAAACCAAATGCTCCATTAAGGCTTCATACCGATTTTATAAATTAGATATTCAAATTAAAAGTCATATAGACAATTCACTGCTTCATTGCTAAATCTGTTTACCTTAAATATAACTTTTGGAAGAATTTTGGCTATCTATATAATTTTAGCATTATTTAAAGAGAAACTTCAGCCAGGCTGCTAAAGATAAAAGTTAGCAGCTACAGATATCATAGCTGCTGAAACAAGTACTGCAAAATGGGTACTTACCAACCCGTGGTGTTTTAGTGCTGTTTTCGTTTAACTCAAAATCTTCAGCACTGTTGTCAGTCCCATGTCACCATCTTGGCTTTGTTAGCTGGCTTTCACTTCCTGATAAGAAAACCACATCTTCGCCTAGGCGAAAAATAAAGCGGTGGGTGCAAGTACTTTGTAGAAAAGGTACTTCCTACCCCCCAAAATTGTTTTCTAGTGCGTTAGAGGGGGGGGGGAGAATTTGGAATCTACAAAAGAAAAGTGAAGGTCCACTTTTAGAGCACAGGCTTTTATTTGGTGCATGGCTTCAATAAATTCCTTGTGTTTTTTCATATGGTCTTACACATGGATTAAACAAAGGAAATTAGGTATTTCTTATTTGTACACAGGACGCAGAGCAGTTAATAAACATGACTACTTGGGTTATGCTGCCACCTGCAGGTGAATGGTGCCTTGCAATAAAAAAAGGCAAGAATCATCACCCAGGCTATTCCTACACATTCTTTATGTAAAGAGAGGAATTCACTCCATCCATATCTGAACAGAGGGATCAGCTCTCAGGGGTTCTCTCTGGTGAAAATGTGGACAATCTCTTTCCCCTCTCCCCTTTTGAGGCAGGATAAAGCTTTGGAGGAAGTTCCTCTGGAAGTTTAAGTAGTGGTAGCTGTTGAGGATCAGGAATCTTCTGTAGATGCGTCCTCGCGGGAGAAATCTGAAGGTCCGGTTCTGTCTCCGAAACAGAAGACCAAGGTGTGGGCTAACCTTAGGTTAGGAATCTTCTTACCCTAAAGCCACTGGCTTTGCAGCCTGGGACCATTTAAAATTCCCAAGTATCCTCACCTGCAAGAAGTCATGCGTGCTGATTGAGCTCACCCAATGAAAGTGCTTTCAACACTAATAGGGGTTCACTTACCAGTAGCCTATGGAGAAAGACGTGAACAAGAAATGGGCTTATTGAGCTGTTGACATGGCTATTTTTTATTTAAATAAGATCTTCAGTGGGTGAGGTCCCTGTCTTTAAAGACCTCATGAGTAAGAGGTTAGAGGCCCTCTTTATAGTTTTTATTTTGCTGGGTGTGACTTTGGAGTTTGCAGTGACTTCAATAGGAGTTTGCCATGCCCTTAAGATCTGGCTGAAGTGGTGCTCCATTCCAAGGATTTGGATCCAGAAAATCTTGCCATTTGGCAGCTCCTGGAAGACTTTCAGAGGACCCTGGGTTTCTTGGTGGATGACTTGGAAAATTCCCATTAGGCAGTTATCTTGTGTGAGCACCATGTCTGTCCACATTAGAAATATCCTATGGCTCAAGTTTCAGTTGGCGGACCTTCACTGCAGGAAGCAAAGTGAATGGGTGCCTTTTCTTTGAGGGCCAGCGCTTATTTGGACCGTCCTTGAATTCCTATATTTAGAAGGTATTTTCTAGTGAAAAGCATGCTCTTGCCGCTTAAGAAGACTGCAACAGGTCAGTGACCAGTGATACCAGTCCAAGAAGGGCTCCTTTTCTAAGTGACCGGCCTCTGGCTCCGGAAAAAAAAAAAAAATCACATCCTAGATCCATAAGAAAACTGGATACCCAAGTCCTCTGGTTCTAGAGGGAAATCTTCCTCTCAGTATAGAGGTTCCCCCACTCTTGCAACTGGGGGGCATCTATGGGCCTTCCCAGCCACCTGGAAACAGGAAGTCACAGATGACTGGGTCTGGTGGCCAGAGTCTACAAGCTGGAGTTTTGCTGCTTTCCCCCTCAAAGCTTTATGCACTTAAGGGTATATTCTGATCCACAGATGAGTGGTTTACTTTGTGGCTTCTATTCTAACCTGTTCAGGGTTCCCAAGCCAAACAGACACATCCGGCACATTGTGGACTTCAGAGGTCTCAAGTTTCTGAAAACATAAAAATTCAGAATGAAGTCTGCCTGGTCCGTGATTGCTTGACTTTTATGGAGACTTCATGGAATCAGTGGATATCAAAAATGCCTACTTGCGCTTCCCAATATTCCAGCCTTAATAATGGTTACTGCGTTTTACAGT